ACCATGGGGCTGCAGGGTTCCCAAGCGGAATGTGAGTTGCTGTTCCTGCAACCTTCGGGTGGCATCGTTGTGGCACTGCAGGAGGCCCAGGATGGATATGTCTGCGGAATGGGAGGGGGAGTTGAAATGGTTCACGACTGGGAGGTGCAGTTGTTTAGTGCGAACCGAGCGTAGGTGCTCTGCAAAGCGGTCTCCAAGCCGTGTTGTGTTGTACAAAAGATCTACATTTACATAGTAAAAATCCAACTTAAAGGCATTACAAAAATATGTACAGGTACTATATTGCACTAAAGGGTGAATGATGCAGTGAACTGAGACAGAAGGACCACATGTGGGACTCCATATTAAGTCTCACTATCAGCAAAACACTTGACAAAAAGTACAGCATGGTAAAATCGATAAAAATCACATCATTTACCTGACAATAACAACAGAAAAACTAGAAAATCACTGTGCACTGTAAGCTTGCTCCCTTATGCATTATTAAGTCTGGTATTCAATGCAACTATACCAAGCAGTCATTTTTAAACTCAGGGCAAGATTTCAGATCTTCTTATTTTTTCCAAGTTCTTACATTGAAAGTGGTTGACGATTTAGTCATACAGACTGTCCTCAGGCTTCAGATAATGTTACTCAAACACACACAAGAAAATGCTAATGTGCATTCCAATGTTTGTGTCCAATCCTCCTTCTTTCCCGTTCAATGACTTTGATAAACAAAATCTTCACAATCAACATGCAGAAATCACGCCTGCACTTCAACAAACCTGGCACCATGTGTTTATTGCTCCTACGTTTGAAGTGGCATCAGTGAATTGTATCTAATCATGGCTCTTTTCCCCTTCAGTCCTCACAGAAACTCAATCTTGGAGTCGAATATTGCCCCGTAAAATATTTTGATATTGAACTTCTGTGTTAAACACCAAACACAGGATTTTTTGCAACCTGCTCAAAATACAACTCAAACAATGCACCTTTTAAAAAAGTTACTTTTTCTTCCTCAAATGCATTGGTAAATTATTAACAGATCCCATGAAAAGTGTGCCATGGCCAAAACAGGTGAAAAGAAATCTCAAACAGCACTGTATTTTTCTCATTTCACTGTTTACATTCTATTGCTTTCACACGTGGACAACCTAACTGGACTCAAAAAATGGCTGATCACATGATTGTTTCCAGAAGCTTCTGAACCTTCTGTATTGCATGGACATTCCAAGTAAAGCTGACAAGGGGAATGGAGATGAATCATTTATCTCCAGCCAGCTCTGGATAAAATAAAACAGCAAGACACCTTAGGCTAAAATCGCTGCCAAGTCTGTACCCTCACCTTGAAATGGAAACTGATGGAGGACGTAAAGCTACACTGTTAACGACTTTCAGATCAGCCAAGCAAGATGGACCCTCAGCACATGAAATGCCAGTCTTTAACACATGCCTGAAACTTCAGCTTGTTGTAATGCTTGAACAAATAATTCAGTGACTTTTTGGTCAATTACTGTAGGGAAAGGAGGACTCCAGACTGTGCCTCAGACCTCCATGTCTGTTTTCAAGTTGTTGCCTGAAAGAAGTCTACACTTTGCCTGCCAAAAAAAAGAAACTACCAGATCCAGTTCACTGACAAAATCATTAATGGACACTAAAATCAGCAAGTTGTAATTCACATTAACTGATTTTTTAAACACATCTGCATTTAGTAAATTTGTAATTTTATAACCTTAGTTTCCTGAACACTTTTGTGTGGATGGAGCAACAAAGCAGTTTCCCAGATTTCTGAATGCTTTGTTAATAATTCCCATCATCAATTTAATCTTAAGATTTTGTTGTGGATTTATTTCAAAAATTGGAGTCCAAAAGCCAGGATTTGGGGGAACACCCTTCAACCTACCTTAGTAAGGGACAGAGTGAGAAAAAAATGAAGGAATAAATCAAATAATATCTTGCTGTCTTGGGCATAAGAGGGGAAAGCAATCAATATAAATTCACTTCCCCCTTTATCTGTGACAAAAACAA